AAAGTAAGCATTTAAATATACGGCATTCCTGTCATCTCAGTACCATAAATAGCCTTGACATACGACTTTTTAAAGTAGATGAGACAAACGAGCTTACGGCTCCCCTGATGGTGAGTAACATCACCGAACATGAACATCTGCAACTCCGGCCATTTATAAAGGAATAGGTTCTCTTCCCTAAACTTCACAATGTGGTCGTACGTGAAAAAAATACTTGCCAACCATCGAGATGATGTGAATGGAATTAAAAGTTCTTTCGCAAAGTCTGATGGTAGAATATAGTGGCTGAAAATAATCCGAATAATCCTTAAAGCTTAAAGCACTCCATGTGGTAAATGCTATAGAAAATGCAAAGTAATGCAACGTTTCTCGACAATATCAGTGGTTCTAGTAGATCGGAAAGAACTTGGTCATCGACGATTTAAGCTACTCTCTACCTCTCCAATCAATGCGCTCAAGTGAAAGGAACTATTACTGGAATACCCTGCCTATAAATATGAACAGAATTTCATATGGGGCTGGTTATGCGCCTTGTAAATTTGAAAGCGGTGGACCGCCATGAAATTACGTCTCGTTCTTTTGAGCACACTGAGCTTTATACGTGGGGCACACTGAAATGATCAGGAATAAGAAAAACCATATGCACGGTATAGCTAAATTTTATTTTATTGTTTTTCGAAGTATTCTCCGTTCAACTTAAAGCACTTTTCCATTCCTGCAAACCAATCATTAAAACAGATGTTGACAAACCGTTGACCGCGTAATAAATCTTTCATTCTAGGGAATATAAAGACATCGTTTAGGCTCAGGTCAGGACTATACGGAGGATGGCTCATCAGCTCAACGTTTTCCTGTTGCAAAAAATCATTTGTCTTCTGAGCCGTATGGGAGCTCGCATTATCGTGATGTAAGATGATGCGACGTTTCGGGTTATTTTATCGGAGTTCCGCTATCATTTCTGGTAAACAAACCGTGATATACCACTCAGCGGTAACCGTTCTGCGTTTCTGTAAAGGTACGCAGAACGGTTGTAGCAACATGCCCCTTTTTCGAGACAAACGTAGCGACCATTTTCTTTGACACGCTGCGGGAGCGAGCCACTTTCGTTGGTTTGACCTCGTCTTCGAAGACACAAACTGCTCACTGATGTTTTCTTTCAGGTTCGTATGAATAAATCCATGATTCGTCACCTGAGGCGATATTATAAACAGCATTTGACTTCCCTCCGTTGAAACGTTGCAGAGCATTCCGGCACCAATCTACACGAGCCTCCTTTTGCCCTTCGGACAAATTGTGGGGAACCCAGCGGGAAACTAGCTTTCTTACACAAAGCTCATTATGTAATATCGACTGAATTGCAATCATTCCGATACTGCTAAAAGCCCGAATCTGCTCGTATGTCACATGACGGTCATCTAATTTAATAGTGACCACAGTTCTTGGTCGACCTGCAGAAGAAACAGTGCTGAGCGATACACGACCGCGTCTGAACTTGGCACACCAGCGTTATATTGTCTTTTGACTCGGTGCTTTAACATCATAAATCGAAACAAGTTCGCTGAGACATTTATCTTGAGATAAGCCGCGACGAAAATTGTGATAAAATATGACACGGAAATGTTCACGCGTGAGCTCCATTTCTATAAACGAGGTGTCAATTTTAAACCAACATAGTTTTTGTTTTTAAACATTTTTTTTACTGTTTGAATGTCATTAAGATTCTAAGAGGCCAGTATTCAAATTCTAAAAAAGATTTTATTGTAACTCAATCCGAAATATTCTATTCCCGATCATTTCAGTGTGCCCCTCCGCATAAGCAAGCCTATTTGGCCTTAACTTCCAAGTGACTTTGATACTTACATACGTCACTTCATATGTCAAAGCAGAAGATACCGTTAATGGCTGAGACAACATTAGTATTACAATAAAGATAATAATGAATACATAGAGATATAGAATGAATGTTACTAATCGACAACAGACGAAACAGTGTGAGTAGGCTCTAGCCTTTTCTTTTACATGGGGAAATGCCTAGGCATACCCGCCTCGCGGGGGCAAGGACGGGTTATGTCGGACTAGCACTGACTAAAACCCCATGGTGTTCCACCTTCGTCGCATATTGGTAGGATCACGGGAACCCTTTCGCACACATCCGCCGCCCAGCCTGCGCTGGCCGCCCCATGGCGGCCTCTCCTCGGGAGAGGACTACTCCTCTCCTTTCTCCTCAGGTAAGGCGCACCAGAACACATGTCGCGTCCTCCTCCTTGGCCTCCAATTTCACATGCGCAACAGACGCCCCCGTGTCCGATGCGCGAAGGCCATGGGGCCAGGAAAAACTAGCACTCAGAAGCACCAGCCTTCCTGCCCCCAGCAGCGCCTCGCAATACCGATACTCCTCTCCTCCCGCAGCCCCACCACCACCGCATCAATTAACGGTGCGGCCCTGTCAGAGACGCGGAGGATAGGGCGAGTGGCACATCGCCATACCAACACTCCTCTTCCTCCGCGACTCCACCTCGGCTGCAGCGGTAGGGGGAGAGGACACCCCTCTCGCAGCAGCCCACCGACACACATCCGAAGTGGGCTCGCCAAGCCCACTCGAAGTGGCCACCTCGGGCCGGCCCTACACCACGGGCCAGCCAAGGGGTTCCTCTTTGTTCAACGCGGGTGATCAAGCCATGGCTACTAAGCCCCCCCGCCACGACAAGGCGGGAACCCGTTCGGGGGGGGGGGGGGGAGGCTCTAGCCTACTCACAATGTTTCACTCTAGGCTAAGCCTCTAGCACACAGCCTTGTGGATAGCAGCAGCATGTTGCTGCTTCACTACTTACAATTCGCTCTTTTTAGCAATTGGTAATGCCGTAAGCACTTCTTATTAGTTTGTGGCCGTAAGTAACCAACGAACATGATTACACGGCAATGCAGTAAAGGTGTTATATTTCCTACATAAACAAAAATCGCTACTGAAATATTTAATTATTTACCTAATGTATTTATTATATATTTATTATATTTAATACACATTTCTCTCAAAACTCTCTTCAAAACTTCCTACGTGCTATTTTTTTTGAGTCTCACTTTAACAGGTCTTGCACTAGTGAATCTCCAGTTTCTCAGAAATATTACTCATACACATATAACAAAACGGACACCGGCGGATTAGAGGAGAATAACCATACGCAGGCGTTCCCCTCTGTCAAAGTATAATTCCACGCGGTCTTATGCGTATAATAGAACTTGTTTCAGCTAGTGGTTAAGTATACTCTTTGGTTGCATCCGTAATGTCCCACTATACCCTTCTTGATAAAGAGTAATTGTGTTCTGTGCTATACCCTGTACAACATGGCTTGTTTTTACTGACAAATGGGTCTAGTGATGGGAAACAGAAAGTATCTAGTATTGTAAAGAATAACGTTTTTATATAGGTACTTGTAATTGTGATGAGATGGAGTGACTGTATGTATATTTTAAACTATTCAAAATAAATTAATTTATTCATCAATCAACTTTATTGCACTAGACATATAAAAACATTGGGTTGGTAAGCAACGATGAGTTAAATTATTCATATAATATTGAGTAAAATCAAGGTTGAAAAATAAAATAAAATTTTCTGTTTAAAACATAGTTTTTAATAGGGAAGAGAAGCACAACAAAGATTTTCATCGTCGGAGTCGTCATCGAAACTTGTGTCATCATCTCCAACTTGAATTATTAATTCGTTTTCAACGAAATTGTCGAAGTGCACATCGCGCATATAGTCAGACAAATCTTCTTCTTTCATGTGTCGAACAACATTTGCCCAGTTTTCAGCGGTTACCTGATCACAAGCTTCTTCCAACAAACGGAGCATTTTGTTTGCGGCGAAGGGAGATGTGTTGTCCTGTGAATGAAATAAGTGATGAATAAAGTAATACTATTAAATGCAAATATGTTATAATATTTATCAAGAAAAAAAGAAATATTTACGCATTCTCAACGTACTTTGATTTGTGCCCATATCAGTTCTGGTCCGAGAGCTCATGACACATTTTCCATAAAGTGTTTGATGCATCATGAAACTTTGTTGAAAAGTATCAGTCCTCTCTATAAGCATGTATATGACTGTTTGCCTAGCCTACCTGGGTACACCTGGTATTGCATACAGGTAAGTCGCAAAACATTTTCCCCAAAAAAAGTGTTTGCTTCAAATAATAATAATGACTATCCGTCAGCTAAGTTGATCAAGAATTATGAAAAAAAGAATGGCAGACACTTTTGAAGTGGATGACAATTATTGACATAGAGGCCAACTATCCAAAATTGCATTTTCAAAAATTCCAAAAAAAGTGTTTTCACACACTTTTTTTCTGCCATTTTTACAGCGTGTTAATTATGTACAATAAAAATTCTCACAAAAGGGCAGACAGTTTCTCTGGGGGTTAATAGTAAAAAAATATTTAAATATATCTTGCGTGGAAAGCAGACAAATTATGTGTTACGGGTTGTAATAAGTGCGACGATATGTCCGATTGTGTCTACATTGTGAACAAGTTGGAACTATTCAACACCTGTTGTTAATGAAGTGTGTGAAAATGACAGTAACAGTGAAAGTTAATCCATCTAAATAATAACCCTTGCCGCTTGACTGTATTTTTGATAATATGAAATATTTCTCCCTATTTACAAATACATGAAATCCACATTACAAAATCTACAAAAACGGAGTTCTGGAATGAAATGACGACATAACGTAAAGAACAAGCATCCAAGTCAAAAATCTTAATTTAAAAAAATATATAATATATGTAGATATGGCTTAAATACACTAGTATCCAAGCCATAAGTTTTAATTAAAAAAAAAAAGAGATTTAGAATTTATTCTTATTTTTAATTTACATTTTAGCTTATAGGTATTTTTGTTTACTGTAATAAATTAAAAATGCATGAATAGTTGGAATAAATGGTTATTTCATATAGAAGGTTACATAAAAAACATTCTGTCAGTATCTAAACGGAAAATGACCATGAATATAAAAGAATTATGTCGACTGTGTGCAAAGGAAGACGAATTTACAAAAGACCTGTTACACGACAGCAATCAGAATCTTCTTAAACTTATCAAAGAATACGTGCATATTGTTGTATGTTTATTTTGAATTATATGAATTAATTCATAAATGTGTTTTCATAAATATATGAAGAATTCATAATAATCACTTGAATAAAAAAGAATTATTACATTTACTGTGCTATGTATGTATTTCCTTTTTTCATTTTAGGTCAATGATGATGATGAATTACCCACAAAGATTTGCCTCAACTGTGAAGAAAAAATGGTCGACTTTCAATTGTTTGTTTTAGAATGTGGCAAAGTTCAAAAATCTTTAAAAGATATGTGTGGAAGTATTCCAATAAAATTGGAAGATGTTCTTGACATAGAAGTTCCTCAAATTAAATCTGAGGTAAATAGTGGTTTGAATGAACATGAGTTGCCCAATGTTATTTGTATACACCTCTTTTTGCAATATAAAAGCAATATGCATGACATGCCAGAATAGCAGTGTTTCTTGAGCCACATTATGTTATAAAAGCACTGTTTATATCTGCTAAGTTTTCCATAACACAGCTTGGCCGAAACAATTACAGTCACATAGTACAAGGCCATATCATGTCAAGTTAAATTTAAATACTTTAGAACAAACTGTGAGCTTTTGATATACAATGTTTGTGTCAATGGTACTTTCATTAGCACTATTTTTAATATTAATTTGTAATGTCATGTGGGATGTAAGCCAGGAGATGGACAGCACCATTTTCCTAATAAATATTAGTAAATAAAAAAACTGCATTTAACTGCCTGCTGGGCATGACAGCTATGGTAACTGTCCTTATGAGGCAATTTAAGAGGAGACCTATGTTCAGCAGTGGACCTTGGGGAATAGTCTGTAATGAATGATTGAATTAATAGCAGTTTGTTTTTTTATTTGCATGAATTTTGTATTACCCCATTACTTACTTGTTTTTAACGTTGAATACTAAATTTGCTTAATTGCCTGATAGGCATGATTTATATGCCAAATACACCATCCTATGGAGTCATACTGTGGCAGAATTACTGCCATACCCCTAGACAAAAAAGAGCCTTACTACATAGGAAATGATGCCACCTTGCACCAAAATAATAACAATTTACCATTACTATTATAGCCCATCAAAAGTCCACTGCACATAGACTTAGTTCTCCCTACAGATCACCTCATACAAGGATATTTCCCATATGAGGCCATTTTGCTGTCATTGTAAGTGGGTTGGCAATTGCAGTTTTTTATTATTTAGCACAGTTATTAAGAAGATTCTATTGTTTATCTCCTATTTCATTTCCCTCTGTCGCCTCTAACAACACCTATTTGCCAATATGAGGTAAAGCATATTCTAACACCATCACTACATGTTAAATAACAACTTGGTTTGTTTAAAATACAATATGTTTCATAATTTAAAAAGTGAACTTGGTAGATATTAAAAAAAAATATATGGATGGACTAGAAACTATTCTTAACTACCCTACCAAAATGTATAAGGCTATATTTTTTTCTATTCTGATGGTTATTGTGTAGGGAATGTATTGATCATCAGTTAGCCAATACTATTTAGTACTCTTCTGACCAGGTTTCTTGCAGACAAGTATTGTTGTAAACATTGTAAACAATATCTAAATTAATAATAGTAACTAGTACAGAAAATATATAGATTATGGTATATTAACCTAAAATGGTTTTATTTTAAATACTGCTTATGTAATAATATCTGAAAATTCAATATTTCTTTGTTATTGATTTAATTTAAAAACTACAAATATAAATATCAAAGTAGTCACAAAGAAACCATGAATCTATATATATAAATAAAATGCATGTAATATCGAAATAAACCATGAATCTATATATATAAATAAAATGCATGTAATATCGAAATAAATGGCAATTAGGCACAGGAGGGTTATTTGCATGCTATTAAGGCATGAATAACCCTTTTTAAAATGTTTGTCTGTCTGTCCACGGAAATGGCTGAACTGATTGTAATGAAACTTCACAAACAGATAAACAGCAATGCTAGGTGTGAGCCTATATTTTATATGAAAAAGTGGGTATCTTATTTAAATATCTATTTACACATGGTAAAGCCATGCTGCAGCTATATTAGTAGTTCTCACAGAATACCAGCCTAAAATAGCAGCTTGACACTGATGTGTTTCGTATGATGAGTGTAGAGAACCGGAGACCCTTTTTACTGGAAAAGAGGCATTCCATCTTAGTCCTCATGGGTGACAACGCATCTGCATTTTGATTCGAAAACGAGCATAAATGTAGATGTCCATGGGCCACAGCAATCACTTACCATCAGGTGAACTGTGTGCTCGTTTGTCACCCTATCCTATAAAAAAAATCTTAATATAAACATCCTATTCTACCAAGACGAAGCTGGGTTACTGGTAGTAAATAAATTTGACAAACTTAAAATAGCAAACTCCTAGATATTTCTAATAACGCTCTGTGGGACTGCAATAAAATCTGTAAATATAGATATTTTATATTCCATTCCTAATTGTGACTTTTTTATGTTTAAGGTTAAAGTTGAAATTACACCAGAAGACATTGGGTGTAAGTATGTTTTAACTTTTCATTTACAAACTTTAACATGCAACTTGCATATTAATAAGGTACACTCACCGGCACAAAAAACAACTCACTTTGAATTTTAAGTAGGAAATAAAACTAATTGTGTTAAATTTACAACAACGAATGTTAAAAATCTGAATACCAATGTGTTTTTAAATGGGGAGGAATTGAGCCCTGTTGTATCCACTGTTTTTCTTGGTATCACTCTTGACGCAAAGCTCCAGTGGGGCCCCCATATATCCAAATTAGCAAGCAGACTAAGTTCTGCAGCCTATGCTGTTAAAAAGATTAGAGGTCTCAGTAGTGTCGAGACAGCTAGATTAGTTTATTTTAGTTATTTCCATAGCATAATGTCTTATGGGATTTTGCTATGGGGAAATGCAGCTGATTCAGAAACTATTTTTGTTTTACAGAAGAGGGCCATTAGAGCTATTTACAATCTAAAACCGAGAGAGTCTCTTAGAGATAAATTTAAAGAAATTAATATATTAACTTTGGCCTCTCAGTATATTTACGAAAATTTAATGTATGTTCACAAAAACAAAGATAGTTTTAGTAAAAAAAGTGATATACATTCTGTAAACACTAGGAACAAACACAAGCTAGTAATGCCAGTTTCTCAACTCCACAGAGTCAGTAATTCATTCTTGGGGCAATGTATACGCTATTACAACTAGGTCCCGGAAAGTGTACAGGTTCTCTCTATTACCAAGTTTTATTAAGCTGAAACTGTATAAAAAGGGTTATTATAGTATAAATGAATATATGGTTGATAATAACCCCTGGGAATGCGGTGGTCGCTTCCAAGCAGTTTCTAAAATAAATTTTGTAAATAGTTCGTAATCATTTATATTGTAAAATTTATTTAAAAAAAGTCCCGCTGGGTTTCTTGTTGGTTCTTCCCAGGACAGAGGGTTTTTTTTCAAACCAGTGGTAAAGTAAAAAATGACTTTCAATAAGAATTACACATGTAATTGAATTTTTTTTTGAATAAAAAATATTCTATTCTAAAAAAGTAATTGTCTAAGAAAATTTTTTTAGTATCATTTCTTATTGATAAGTATTATTTAAGTTATTCTTTGGCAAAGAATATCTGTCAAACAAACTTCGTAAGCAAAAGCGTCTCATCTGTGATCAGTATTTGACTCCACTGTTCCATAACTCAGTTCACATGCAAATGCAAGTCTGCTGACTCGATTTTGTCTGGTGTCTATTTTCTGAGATGTAAGTGCTGTTAGCCTATGTGGCTCTTACAGCTTTATCTGACACAGGGCTTGCGGCCTGGTAAGCTTTTGAGCCATATGCAGGTCTTCTGGCCATGATATCAGTTTTATTGAGGTGTCTCCTGATAGTCCTGTCACTTACATGCATATCTCGAACTTCAGCAAGGCCATTCCTGACTTCAACAGCAGTCATGGCCCTGTTACGTAGTATTGCTAGGGTACGGAGTAGGTTCTTTGACGACCTGTTCCTGACCGAAAATAAACACAAATATAATTTCAAGATTACTATTTATTTAAAGAAATCTTAGTGAGTAATTTTTGTGCTGGTCAGTATATTATATATTTATGAATATAGTATATTTTAAAATATATTAGTAAATACCGACAGGTAAGTATTACTAGAAATCCATCATTTTGTGAAGTATAGTAATTAGTGAAATAATATTTGACTAGGAAATGAGACTATTGTTTATGATTTGAACGTAATGTTTGGCAACAACGGTTTTTGAGTAATTGACAGTAGAATAAAACAAATAACAAAGATATAAATAATCATTTTGGTTGTTAATTATTTAAATAATTTTTTTTGCGAGCGTTGTCGTCTTTATTGAAGAACAAGACCACCGCACTTCTGCTCCACGCCTACGGTGTAATGCCACAATGGAGGACGGAATTAAAGAGCTTCTGAAGGACTTCAAGTACCGGTTTTCCACCCGCTTTCAGAAGCTCCGCTGTAATTCCATCCTCGCCTGGGGCTTTGCCGTTTTTAAAGTGCTGGAGAGCCATTCTAATCTCGCTCAGACTGACGTCCAGGATATCATCGGAATAATGTCGGATAAGACTCGCTCTTGGATCGTTACCCACACTTGCGTGTGGCTCCAACGATGACGTGTACAGCTGCCCATAAAACCTCTCAATCTCACTCAAAATCTCAGGTGCCCCGGAAACGATGCTGCCACATTCTGTCTTCAGCTTTGACAGTTGGTTCTTTCTGGCAGACAGATCTCTGGCAAAGACTTTGGAGCCTTGGTTCCGCGCGATCGTTTCTTCAATACGAGCCGTATTGAAGTTGCGTAAGTCCCGCCGCATGCATTTGGAGATCTGTCTGTTCAGTTGCCTGTATGCTGTCAAATCTGTTGAAGAATGTAGCTTCATCTCCCGTCTAACAGCCAGGCGTGTCACTTTGTAAAAATCTGAGGTATGGAAAATGGTGGCGCGATTTTCAAATTTGTTCGCATTACTCGTGGGGTATTAAGGTTTAAGAGTTTGCAGTGTATATACTCAACTTATTTATTGAACTATAAGATGTGGGGTATTGAGGTTTAAGGGCTTGCGATTTATTTATATGGGGTTTGTAGTAATATGCGATTTATTTCCTAATTTCAGCTATGGAATTCCATACCTTGAAAAACTTGAGGTATGGAGTGCTCCATACCTTCCATAGTGGAAGTGACACCCCTGCTAACAGCCATGAGATTAAGAGTGTGATCGGAGAGTTTTTGTGTTCTTCTGCGGCGGGTCTTGCAGAACTTAGCTCCGACCGCATGGACAGTTTTTCAGACACGAGCTTGTCATTCATATCGTCCACTTCATTGGAGTCTTCTAGCCACTGAAAACGGTTTTGTAACTCGAGCTGAAAGGTTTCGGGACTTTGGATTAGAGCACGAGGGGGACGGTGCGTTGACTTTATTAGACGAGACCTCTCCAACTTAACGTTTAGGTTCAGTGTGCCTCTAACCATTCGGTGATCGCTGCCGGTTTTCACCCTCGCGATCACTGAAACATCACTGAACAGTTGTCGTCTGGTCGTCATAATGAAGTCAATCTCATTTTTTGTCGAACCGTCGGGGCTCGACCAGGTCCACTTCCTGTGAGGCCGCTTCTGGAAGAAAGAGTTCATCATAAAGAGTCCCTCTTTCTCCATGAAGTCGGCCAGCTGCTGGCCCCTTGGGTTCCGTTGCCCTATTCCAAATTTCCCTACTTTCAGTTTACCATTCTTTCTTGTGCCTAGTTTTGTATTGAAGTCTCCCATTCACATCGTATATTGGGTTTTGGAAGAATGCATGGCTCTAGAGATATCCTCATACATTTCCTCCACCTCCTCATCGAGGTGTGCCGAGGTTGGTGCGTAAACCTGTATGACCTTCAGCGAATACCGTTTGGTGATTCTGAGTATAAGGTACGCAACCCTCGTCGACACATTCTCAATCTTTACAACGTTGTTAACGAGAGACTTGTGGACGATAAATCCGACACTTCCTTGGGACAGATGGTCGCCCTCCCGGTAATAGGGCACGTTGCCGGATTTGAGGATTACCGTTTCCTCCCCCTCTCTTCGGACTTTGGATAATCCTATAATATGCCAGCGTAACTTGTCTATCTCTTCTTCCAGCTCCACAATCTTCTCGTCAGTCCTCAGGGTGCGTGCGTTGTATGTTGCCAGGTCGAGTCGTCGTAGGTGGCAACCGAACCTCCACCGGAGATTCTTAGCACCCCTTGCCCCGCCGTTACCATGGTCACCACCGTAGCCAGGAATAGCGAGGCCGCCGGGGACTGGGGGCCGTTTCTTAGTAACTTTATCCATTTGGGGGGTATTTGCCATAGTTGCCACGCTTGGCGAGCGGGTTGGCAACCGCAGTTTTTTTTAATCGTATTTTTGCTGTTATTAGGAAGATGCTGCTGCCCATCTCCTGCCTGTTTCCCTTTGTCGCCTTTTACGACACCCACGGGAAGATATGGGGTAGTGGATATTCTTAACCGCCACTACACGGTAATTATTACATCAAATAACTTGTATAAATTTGACAGGTGACATAAATAATGGGGCTTCATTATCAGAATTTGAGGGTGATGTGGATATTGAAGATGAGGACTATGTCGACACTGGTGATGACTTTGATGATGGGGACTCCTTGGATGATGTCTCTATTGCCTCTTTGAAGAAAATGAAGAAGAAACGTTTAAAGAGAAAGCCATTGACTGAAGAAGAAGCAAATGAATTTCAAAAAGTTTTACAAAGTTCGAATTTTAAAGTTAAAGATATTGTAAAGTAAGTGTCATTTTAATTGCAATTTTTATGGATATTATTGTATGTTTTTAATATGTGTAAGTTTGACTTAGCATTTGGTCTCACAGGGCCTTACACAGGCTTAGACCTACAAATAATTACTTTGGGTCTGAATGTTTGTTCATTTGAAATATGTCTCTAAAATCTCTCCACAATTCCGTCTTATGTATACACGACATAACCATGCTATTTATGTTCTTAAGTATACTATACTATTGCCAATTTAAATGGCTAGTTACGAATGTCTGCAAAATTGTTGTAATTATAATTTATAAAAAAGTCATAGTTTAAATCTCGAGACCAGAACTACAGCAAAACATTTTTTTTTTCAGATTAAAATGTGATGTCTGCGAAGAGTCTTTCAAGTCTTGGAGTGCATTACGTGTTCATTATGCAAAGAGTCATAAAAGCAAGCCTCTTGTGTTTTGTATCTGTGGGTTCATCATAAGATCAAAAAGTGTCCTTTACAAACATGTTTCCGATCATAAGATTGAAGGCAGAAAGTTATGTAAAAATGTGGATTCTGATACAGATAAGCTAGATGAATTAAAATACGCCCGGCTTAATGTTAAAGATTTTATAAAGTACATATTTGTTTTATTGTTTTCAAAGTAAATTTTACAACAGAACTGTTTAACTTTAAAAATGTGATTATATTTTTAGTTTTGTATGCAATAATTGTCAGAAAGCGTATTCGAGTTGGTACACATTGAAGGCGCACTGTCTAAAGGATCATAACATTTTACCAGTAGTGAATTGTGTATGCGGAATTTCATTAAAATCCAAATCAGTTATGTATAAACATGTTCAAGACCATAAAAACCCGAATGTTTTAGCGTAAGTATTATTTTAATTTATACTATTCTACTATAATTTACATAAAAATTGCTATTATACATATTTTAAATTTTATATTTTCCAGCTTATTTTACATGTATACCTAGTCGTAATCTACATTTCACTGTATTCAGTTTTATGATCGCTTCTATGGAACGTAATACTAGACCAGTAGTACCAGATTAATTGAATATATCTTTTTTAATTAAATTTGATATTTAACAGTCCTGTTATCATTATTGTAGTTGTGATAAATGCCCGAGGATAACCAAGACAATAGAAGCGTTGAACAAACACAAAATGAGACATATACCAAAGTCAGAGAGAAGATTCTGTTGTTCATCCTGTAACAAAACATTCAACAGTAAAGACACTTTGAAATCACATGAAAAATCGCATATACCAATAGAGGAGAGAAAAATATTCCACTGTGACATGTGCGATATGAAGTAAGTATTAAAAATTCTAGCCTTTTTAGTTGGATTATAGCATATAAACATTTTATGATCAATGTAATAGCCGGTGAGCTGGCCGCTATTTGACAATCATGTTAGATACAAACCTACAATTTTGTGTATTAGAAATCACACTGTTATAAAGAAATTGGATGATCCTAAACTACCAGTAAATATCCAAGAAGCGTTTTGCACGTCGCAGCGTACAAGCATTATTTGGCGAGTTGTTATTTTTTTATGATGACGAGACCCCCATCTGAAGACATGGTTTATAAAAAATACATACCAAGTATTGACTTAACAAAAACAGCAGGTTGTTAAAGTTGGTAAAAATTACTTCAGGTGATGTAGACTGAGGTGGTTGACCACTATGTCAGCTAACACAGAGTCTACTTAACCTGAGAATGCCTTGTGTAGAGTCAAAACATGTGTCGTATTGTCGTCAGTGGTGTCTTTCTTAGTGTAGTGGTGTTGGGAGTAGTGGTGCTAGGATTAGTGGTGACGGAGATAGTGCTCGCAATTGAGGGAGGGCGGGAGGTGCTCTTCAAACTAGGTAAGACACATCATTTTCATTTTGTTGAGCGGATGTACGCGAGGTAATTTTTACCAACTTTAATATAATGGGTTTCCGCAAAGTAACGCCTGATTCTATTAATTATCTTAAAAACAGCAGGACAAAATAAAGAATTATATAAAATAATAGAGATTTTAGAAATTAACGCATATCTAATAAAAACGATAAAATACAGTCAGATTTTTGCTGTCTGATAGAGAGTTTATACTAGTAAACAATACATTGACCTGAGGAGACAATCAATGGAGAGAGCTATGTTCATCAACGGACTTTTACAGACCGTAATGGTTTTATGGATGCAAATAATATTTCTTTAAAATTTCAGCCTCGTTACGAATACTACTTGAATTGTAATCAAATGTTATTCGTACACAATAAATAACGGCTAATTAAGGAGGCGACTAACAACTTAAAGGGCTACTAACTATTTTGTTAGTAAAAAAATTACTTGGCAGCAATTAAATATTTTAGCAATAATTATATTAGGTAAACTTCAAAATGCAAGAATTTATAAAAACTGAATAATGGCTGCTACTTTAAGGTAGCAAACATATTAAACGGCGTAGTCAGTATTATAGGCGAGGTACTATAAATAAATGACATGGCGACTAATATTAACAGTTTGATAACAAATATTGTATTATTGGCAACAATAGGCTCCCATATAAAAATACACTTTTGGGCTGTGATTTGCAAGCAGCTGTAAAAATTAAAACAGGTACTATAATTAAGTATTAGGATTTCAGTATTTTTGTTCATAGAATCATAATGTAATAGTTCTACAAACAAAAATAATGAAATCTGTGAATGTGAAGATGAATTTCATCGACTACTAACAACGCTTTGGAAGCATTCAACAAGTCAATCAAAGATAATACGATGCGGAAACGCTTTCCTATATCACGATTCCTTTCAGTGGTCAAACGATATCACTGAAAACTCATTACCATAAACACACAAGATTGAACTTAAAGAATGGACAGTAGGATATTGTTGGGCAAAAAAGAACATTAAAGTTGTTACGGCTAAAAGCCAAAGTCCGGTTACACTTAGTTCTAGCCGGCTAGAACTAAGTGCGGTCAGTAGTAGTTGGTTAAATTTAGATGTACTGTTAAATTATCAAAAACACGGATATACGTATCAAGTAATATCAGCGACAGTATGTTAAGGTGAGGTGTACCGCACGCAACCGCATACATTTATCTAATTTATAAATATATATGATACATTTATAATTTTGAATAAATAAAGACAATTATTCTACCTTTATGCCTTTTACTGTTTCGCCACTGTCGGAAAATTATGAGTCAAGAAAGAAAACTATAGACAAACAATGTTTTTTTTTGCATGTCACTATTTGCTTTATTTAGAGCTCTTAAAATGTTGCACAAAGTATGTTTCTTATGACCATGTTCATATTTCCTTCTCATTTCAGCTAACTTTATTTACAATCTCATTGTATAATTTAAGAAAGCCTATTTTCTACTTTTATCCTACGCCAAGTGTTTGTTTAACAATAAATTCAGTTACCAAAACAAAAATCTATTCAAATTAAAGTTTACAGCTGATTATAAAGCTGCTACTTTCTACTTTTTGCTACCGGCTTTAATTAAAAAAAATCCCTAATTGAGATTAAATTGTCGCTTCGTTAAATACATGCCATAAATAACGTATGTGGCGAAAATGTGGCTGTACAGTTTATTCAACTTTAGCTATAGCTTTGTTCAATATGCAGGTTCACGACGCGTTCGTCGGCCGCGTCACACAAGCGAGTCGTGCACGAAAAGATCAAGAGTTACGTGTGCGATCTTTGCGGGTACGCGTGTGGGACCAACGGCGAGTTGCGTCAGCATCGAGCCATACATAGCGACGACAAGCCTTACGTTTGCAGAAAGTGTTCCAAGCCGTAAGTTAATGTCTATTTTGGGCACCACGACAATCCTCTGCTGGATATTAAGCAATACTGCGTTTCCATTTAAGTGAATAGACCAATCCGTAAATTGTTTGCTCCTCTTTATTGGAAATAGGGTAGACAGAGAAAAATTATTTAAAGTATATAACAGGTATAGCACCACGTCGGCTGCCTCATATAAAAACCGAGTAAGGATTTATAATTTAGTTTTAGAGAAGAGCAACGAGCATTATTCAAGGTAGTAATTTAAATGTTTTACAAATATATTAAAGGAATTCATTAAATTTAAATTTCTGACCATTTTTACTGGAGGTGTTACTCGGCTCACTCAGGCCTTTCTGCAGAGATTTAAATAAAAATATTTATTAATGTAAATTACTAGGTTTTAATAATGGGACAGTCGAAGTGGGAGGTAGTAGTGTTCACAGAGGGACTTGTAAAATATGCCGCCCCACGACATTTCACCAGCTAATATTTTTGGGACATCGATTGCAGGTGTGAACTCTAAAGATCGCATTTTAGTGACAGGTGTCATAGTGGAAAACACACACTTTTTTACAGCTGCAGTTTTAGCACCATTCATCTGTCCTCTCGTCTCTGCTTCAGGGGTAAAAAAGCGGTTTTATTTTAGTCGAACGAGAAAGAAAGGGCTTATTTGAGAAATACCGGGAACAATAAATCGAGAAAAAGAAACCGGGAAGTTATCCGTGCACTTGTGTGACCACGCATTCCATACAATTTTTTAAGTCCTCGAGAGTCATGCTAAAAGAAACTAGTTACTCGAAAATTATTATATTTATTACTTATTAGTAATTGCGATTCTACAAAGTATTCACCTTGAGTGCGTATACACTTTTCCCAAACTCGAAATCATTTGGAACTTGATTTTTTCATCTTGAACATTGTCATCCGATTCTAAACAATGTTCAAAATTTCTAATCTCTAGCTATAAATTCCTAAATTCGACCCGAACGGACGAAAGCGGGTTGAATGAAAATGGAATGTGGAAAACAATAGCTCTGTCCAGTTTCCTTTAGAAATCTCAAAAATATGAGCAGCCAGTTCGCATTATTTACTTTCAAACAATTTCTTGCTTTTTAATTGTTTTATTTTTGTAGGCAGGTTTTTGATTGCTTGTCATAAAAAAAACTGATAATACTTTTGGGGTACAAACTGTTACAAAACACTCGCAATTAACCATTCTTTGATTCTTTATCACCACAATCCTTATTTCAAATTAATCTCTGAAATTTTGACTTTCCAAATTCTGTAAAAGCACCAATGCCTACTCAGTGAATGCTTATCCCAATAGTCTGCTTTCTCGTCTTTTTATATTTTTTATGTCTCTAAAGTATTTTCCATCCACTTTAAAAATGCTTCTCTTTTATTCACGATAAAATATTTCGTGCAAATAAACTTAAAGAGAAGTATTGTTAAAAGTAGGACAATATTTAAAAGTAAAGAGGGGATTTTATTGTTTGCTAAGAATAAAAATCATAAAGTAGGTTTAACGTCAACAAACGGACATGCACCGGGGCGGAGCGTAAGAGGTCGTGTTGAATAAAAGAAATCAAGAACGCACCAAGTAATTCAAAAGTGTAGTTTGTGGATAAAAAAATGAGTATTCTGCAATATTAATTTCTTTTATTTATTAGTTCTATTCTGTTCGATGTAGCGTTAAGGTACGACGGTACGGTCGCAGTACGGTTGGCGAGCCTAAACGCAGTCCACCTGATGGTAAGTGGATGCTGGGGCGCGTCTACATAAATCAAAATGTAGATGCGTAGATGTCACCCCTGAGGACTAAAATAAAATGTCTTGATACCAGTTAAAATAATCTGGTTCTCTGCACTCACCATACTACATTAAGCGTCTATTTTACGCTGGAATTCTGTGAAAGCATGATCCTTCCCTAGTAAAGCTGACCCAATTTTGCTACAACATAACCGGTGTCGTGACACCTGTTGTAATATTTTTTTTTATAAAATAATAAGATTATACACGTTCTTTTTCTATTTTACTATTTAATAATTGAACTTTCGCAGGTTCAAAACATATTCAAATTTGAAGACGCACATGGACACGCACGAGGACACGTCGTACGCTTGTTACGTGTGCAGCCGCGTACTGAACAGTCGTCGCACGCTGCGCAAGCACTTGCTAGTGCACGAAGACAAGTGTCAGCATGTCTGTTCCTACTGCAACAAGGCATTTAAACGACGTCAGACCTTAAAGGTAGGCATCAAAATGTTATGAGATGCATTGTAAATGATTTTTAGCCGACTTCAAAAAAGGAGGAGTATGTTACATTTAAGTATTACTAATAGACCGGACATCAGCAACAAAATGGTCATCTCTTACTTATGTCTTATTGGATATATTTTGGATTTGTGTCATTTAGTCATAGTGACATCGTCAAAAGGTTAAGACGTTTAAATGTTCTAAATTTAAAAAATATTTTTGCAAAAAAATATATGAGTCCCGATAATATCAAAAACTAAATGTTATTTCGGTTTATTATCGCAAGTATAATGGATATTTACCCAGTAATTTTTAAATTTTGTTCTGGTAGATTGTTCTAGAACATTTATCATTATTGTAATAATCGTCCTCTGTTATCCAGTAACATCACCAATTGATTTAGTGATTGACAACGTTTATCGATAAAAAATATTATACAGGATGCGGAATTAATCATCTACAATATTTAATGAGGTGATAAATAAAGAAATCGGGTGGGCCAGTGTCGAGGCACAGGGCCGTTGGTTTTATCGTGAAACGTCTATGTCAGCTAGTACAACTATTATAACCAGTCAACAAGATAGCCTTCTCTTTAAATATTTTAATATAATTCTACAACACCAGGAGAATTGCAGATGCGTTGCCAACCTTTTAAAAAGGAGTAAGCTGGTTTCTTGAAGGTTCTAAGTCGTATTGATCTGTAAAAATCGCCGATGGTGAACGATTCCAAAAGTATTCGTGCGAGAAAAATTAAATAAATCGCACGGTGGTGGACCGTCAAGCCTCCAAATAATGTGGAACGTAAGTTACGTAAGACGTAAGACGTAAGTGTGTTGGTGAAATTTGGTGACGAACAGTATTCCAGAGGCCGAACCTGCACCTTGTAAAGTTGCGAATGGTGTGCAGGCATGAAATACTGTCCCGGTCTTCTGAGTACGCCAAGCTTTTTAGAAGCCAATATAGCTTTCTCTTCCAAGTGACCACGCCACTGCAGGTCATTCGATATGCGACGCCGCTGCACCTTGTAAAGTTGCGAACGGTGTGCAGGTATGAAATACTGTCCCGCTCCTGAGTACGCCAAGCTTTTTAGAAGCTGTTCTTTTTAGCGGTAAAAGCGCAAACTTGTGAATTTCTATAATAATTTATCGCGTAACAACTATTAAGTTCAGTGCTTTCCTAAAATATGTTAGATTTAAAATGTATTTTTGTAAATTAAAAGAATTTCAAAAACATAGAAGCGCTCTCTTATTGGATTTGACGTTTCTCGATGTGCCTTCGACGCCGCCGACCAATCATGTGCTATTGTTATAGCGTCTAAGGCCGGCTACATACATACGGAATTCCGTTTCGGAATTCCAATTCGGGATTCCGAACGCAACAAGTTTATATAAAATCTATAGCCCGTCGCACACGCACGGTAGTTTTCAGGATAAACAGGATTCCGTATGTGTGTGGCCGGCCCCTTCGTTATTCCGAAACGGAATTTCGTATGTACGTGAGGGGCCTTGCGGCACTCCTTAATCATTTTGTAAGTACGAAGGTTTAAATTTAAATTTATTTTTTTGCCGTATATATATCTTTTGTTGTATTTTTAATTTGTTATTTTCATAGTGCATGGAAATATTAAAGTAATCGGGACTATTGAAGCTAATATGCGGAAATTATTTTATTATTTTTAGTGCTTTGAAGTCGGAGTTAAATTTTTATTAAAAGGCTAATTTTCAAATGAAATTTGTGGAACACTAAGTATACAACAAGTTTTTAATCGACTTCTCCTTAGACGACGTTATGTTTTTCATGTATATTCACTGATTTTGCGGAAATGGTTGCACCGCACGATTCTTTTTTTATATGAGTACCTCTAGGTTGGTGCAATTTGAATAAAAAAATCCTTCTCCGTAGTGATTTTAAACATGTCACATTATGATTTTATATTGTCTTTTTAATGAAAAAATACTGATTAACTGTTACTAATTTTAAAAACTAAAAATAATAAATTAAATTTGAAACAATATACGGCTCTATGGCGCAGTGGCTTAGCAATGAGTTATGGCGTTGAGGGCCGCGGGTTCGAATCCTGCACGGAACTAGTATTTGTATGGCCTACAAGTAATAAATAGTTCTGGGTCTGGATGTTTATCATTGTGTAAATTATGTATGTAAACTGCCTCCACGGAACAGGAGAAAATCCTAGTGAGGGGGTAATGTTTAAAAAAAAAAGAGATAAATATACCTAAGGAATCCTAAACTATTATCAGATTCTCAGTCATATTATGGCTCAGAAAAATAAGGAAATATTTCGTTTATTAGCAGAAGGTATATAAGAAGATATATATAGTTGAGATGAAAACTGACTTTTCCATTTTCTTGTAACTGTGTTTTCTTTGAAAGTTATATTTTATGGGGACGTACGTAGGGTGTGGAAACTAAATTGGTGTTCAAAGTCCAGTGTATCTGGTCTGGTTTGTGTCCAGGTCCATATGCACATGCACACGGGCGACAAGCCGCTGGCGTGCAAGTGGTGCGACGAGCGGTTCGCGTACGCGTCCACGCTGCGCTCGCACCGGCTGCGCTGCCACCCGGACAAGATGGCCGCGCAGTCGCACGCGCCCTCCTACGACGCGCTCGCGCAGGCGATACACCACGTAAGATGTTCACTAGCCATTTTATCAATTCATTATACATTTCCCGCCAATTTTTATACTTCATATTATGTACGTACGTGCGAACATCGGTGCGTGCATGCGTATGCGTGCGTACGAAGAAGTTTGTGTTTGTGTATAGTTGTACAACATAACATATTATATTGTAAATAAATATTGTACATTTCGTTGGTTTTCTAGCTAGTTCCTTAGAAAGAGTTTCTTCCGAACCAGTGGTAAAGGCATATTAAGTGACTTTCATATTGTATTCTTTAAATCTATATTGAAGGAAATTTTATATTATGTTCTATAATATAACAAATAATTTATTATTATTGTGCCCATAAATATTATTTTTCTATCTATAACCCTTACAGAATTAGGGCTGGACCTCGTCGAATAGATTACCGCCTTTTGCTTTACTCTAGAGCCTCGTGAGGGGTGAGGTTAGCTTTAGAGAATTTGTTACCATTCTCATACTTTAAAAAGACATAATGTTACGACCAAAACATAGAAGAATATTTATTCTTCTTATGAACTAAACAGATACTGCTGAACATAGTTCTCGCTCGGTTTTTTAGGATTGTTTATGTAGTACCAGACCTATTTCCCATTGTACAACTATGGTCATTTTATTTCTGGTATTGGTAAAGCTTACTACTATAAAGCTAACTTGACCGTGTTGTAGCGATGTAAGTATATCCACTACCCTATATCGTCTAGTGGGTGTCTCCAAGAGGCGACAGAGGGAAACAAAGCAGAAGATGGGCAGCAGCGTCTTCCTTAACAACTAGAAAATAAAAATAAAAGTGCGGTTTCCAACCCGCTTGTCAAGCGTGACAACTATGGAAAATATTCCCTTAAGAGGTAATCTATGGGGAGTCCTGTGTTCAGCAGTGGACTTTGATAAGCTGTAATCTCTATATATTATACAAATCGATTGCCGTCCGTTAGTCTAACAAGAACTCGAAAACGGCTGGACCGATTTTGATGAATCTTTGGGTCCCTCGATGTGGTTTAAACACATTTCAATTAGACCTGATAGGTGGCGCTGTTGTCGAGATCCAGAAATCACCCGTGCGAAGCCGGGGCGGATTGCTAGTTAATGATAAAAATGGATGAAAGCTAGCTAAGGTTCATTAAATTAACATAAAAGCAATTTTAAATGCTGACTTACCACAGGCTCGGTGGTGAAGGAAAACATCATGAGGAAACCTGCGCGTCTGAATAATGAAAATATTTGAAAGACCTGTAAAGTCTGCTAACACGCACTAAAGTAGTGCCGTGGACTATAACTCCATAATTGTCTTAGAAATGAGAGAAAGTCTATGTCCAGCTGTGAGACGTTTATACGCTTTGTCACTTTTTTCGCGCTTTTCATTTTGAATTAGCTAAGTGGCCTTCGAAAAAGTTGAAGTGAAATATACTGTACTGCCGAAATGTCGTGGTGTAGTCAGCCTGGGACAGTGTTCTGTCCGTGTCAAATTTGTGTTAATATAAAAAGTTATAAACAACAACGTTTTTACGTGGTAGAGCCATGCTGCAGCTATATTAGTAGTATAGTTATAGCACGAATAAGTCGGCTCGATCGGGGAAGGACCACACTCTCACAGAATACCAGCGTCAAATAGCAGCTTAACACTGCTGTGTTTCGTATGGTGAGTGTAGAGAACCGAAGACCCTTCTTACTGGAAAAGAGGCATTCCATCTTAGCCCTCACGGGTGACAACGCATCTGCATTTTGATTCGCAAACGAGGATAAATGTAGATGTCTATAGGCCACAGCAACCAATTACTATCAGGTGGACTGTGTGCTCGTTTGTCATCCTATCCTATAAAAAAAAACAAGACTTTCGACTCGAAGGACCACTTCGTAGGACGAAATGAAAAGCTAGATAATTTATATATTGTATTTATGTTTGATTTCAGGAATTACTCAAAAACGATACATCAGCGAATATAACCAAGAATGAAGTAGAAGCTATTTAGTGTAATTAGTATAACATCACACCGATTGTTATCAAACATTTGACAGATGTGTAGGCACTAAACATTTTAAATGGTGGGAACGACTCAATTATTTTAGGTTTTTTTCTTTAGTTTTAAAACTATCAAATTTGGTAGTGATTAGTTAAAATCATTACATTGTATTATTTATGTTAATTTGTATAACGTAAGTGTTTTATTTAGAAATTTAAAAATAATTATTATAACATTTTTCAGATATTAATATTTTTATACACTGTCTAATGTTGTGCTGCTCTGCTCCGTAAGGTTTTAGGAATATTGATTTTTCCTTGTTTAGTTATTGTAATTGTTCATCTTTGATGAACTTGAATGAATTGTGACCGTGAAAAACTTTACCATGTTTCACTGTATCTAATTAAGTGTAGATTTTTTCCTAAATAAAGAATCTATAACATAATTACGTTTTGTCTTTTATTGCGTTATCTTGTTTTTCGCAACACAGTAACACGTGAAACAGGATAGAAGTACCTCATATCATTACAATCCATTTGTAATAAGAATCGCCAATATATATATATATATATAGTTAATTTATTAGATTTATTTACAAGTCATCAACAGTATTTTTTTTTATAAAATAAGTTTAGGTATGAAAGCATTTGATCACACTACAACAACAACAATTCACTTGGTTTAGGTAGCCTTTTAAATTCACTTCACAGTCTTCCAAAATGCGCTAGTTTGCATGCATTATTTTAAAGATTAGCTGGTTGGTTTAAGAAGGTTGTCGACCGACTGATGCCGGAAAATTCTTGTAAAACACTAAAATCAAATGAAATGATCCATACCATGCCAGACATGCCCTACGGACGTCAACGCATATTATGTCAGCCCCATCATGCTCTAACCTTATTGACACAGTTGGAAAAAAGTTATTGAGAAGAACTAGAATAAGGCTCAATTTACATTGCCGCAGAACGGAATGGAAGCGAATTTTTGTAACGAAGTTGTACATAGTAAAATTAATTTCATGTTGATTGTGTAACGTGCAAACTAGATATGAGCTAAAAAAACAGAAGTCGCGCGTCTTCCATAGAATTCTCGCGCATTCTCGAGAAATCTGCAGCCACTGTCGGCGCAGTCTGTGGAATCCGCGGGAAGTAGCGCAAAGGGTGAGGTTTTCATTTCTTCCATAAATCATGAATCCAAATATTTCTTTTCCTTTTTCTGATATTCTTCAAATAAGCAATATGAAAAAAAAAATCCAATCAACCGTTATTGTGAAATAAAAGATCTAGACTAAATAACTGAATGTTGCATGGAGCGTTAAGGCACGGTCGCGAGAATTCCCGCGACTGAGTCTTAATGCTTTTGCTTTGGTGCAATTGGCGAAATTGACGCTTCCGTTCCATTCCATTCCGCCAAATGCAAATTGAGCCTTATTCGTGTTTCATATTTGCTTTAATGCCTTCGTCACTTGCCCAGCTCTAAAAGGTGAATTTTTTACGCTGATGGTACGTTTGGAGTTTAGATACTGATGTATGGTTGTTTTAAATAAGCTTTGTTTTAGTTACCTCCACACTAGGATTTTCTCCTGTATCGTGGGCGCAGTTACCATACATAAATTTCACAAGGACAAACATCCAGACCCGGAACAATTATTTTTAGGCCATACAAATAATTGCTACGCGTGGGATTCGAACCCGCGGCCCTTAGCGCTGCAACTCATTGCTAAGCCACTGCGCCACGGAGCCGTCATGCTGCAAACTTGGATTCTTCACAACAAGGCCGTAAATACAACACTACTATAGGCGAAAAGGAATATTTCGCAAATTCTAGGAATATCGACTTAGTTTTTATCAGTGGCGCTACAAGGGTTGCCACCGCCCGGAGCCGCAAGAGCCGGATATGCCGCCTTCATGTTCGCAAGTATCTTAAAAATGTAAAATCAGTTATTTCTACAGTTATACTTGATAGAGCCATGCTGCAGCTATATTATCGTAGTAGCATGAATGAGGGCTTGACCGGGGAGGGATCACTGGCTTACAGAATACCTGCGTAAAATAGCAGCTAATGCTGCTGTGTTTCATATGCTGTAGTGTAGAGAGTGTAGAGAACCGGAGACCTTTATTTTTTCCTGGAAACGAGGCATTTAATTTTAGTCCTCAAGGGTGAGAACGCATCTACGATTTGATTCTTTATTGACAGTGTCTGAATTAGAGTTTTGACAGCCCTAGGCTGCTAACTATGAATATGCCTGGCCTGTTCCCGGCCTGTGCATTTTACTAGCTTCCCACACTGCGGTTTCACCCACATTAATATTCATCATCATCATCATTACAGCCCTTCACAAGACCACTGCTGAACATAGGCCTCCCCCAAGGACTGCCACAAAGCACGGTCCTGAGCCACCTGCATCCATCGACTTCCTGCATATCTTACCAGGTCGTCACTCCATCTAGCGGGGGGACGCCCTACACTTCGCCTGCGGGTACGAGGCTGCCACTCGAGAACCTTTTTCCCCATCGGTTGTCGGTTCTTCGAGCTATAGGGCCGGCCCATTGCCACTTCAGCTTACTAATCCGTTGGGCTATGTCGGTCACTCTGGTTCTACTGCGGATACCCTTATTTCTAAGTTTATCACGCAGAGAAACTCCGAGCATAGCCCTCTCCATAGCTCGCTGAGCGACCTTGAGCTTCCTGATCCGGCCAGCAGTGAAGGACCACGTCTCAGTTCCTAAGTCATCACTGGCAACACACACTGGTTGTACAGTCTCGTTTTCAAGTTTTGAGGTATACCTGACGAGAAGATGTGCCGTAATTTCCCGAACGCTGCCCAACCGAGTTGAATCCGTCGATTGACCTCTCGTTCGAAGTTGGACTTAACTAGTCGGACTATTTGTCCCAGGTAAACATACTCGTCAACAACTTCGAGCTTAGCGGTCCCAACAACTACTGGCATAGGTGTGACATGGACATTAAACATGATCTTTGTTTTGTCCATGTTCGTCTTAAGACCTATCCGTTGGGAAACACTATTGAGGTCATTGAGCATAGTGCTTAGGTCCTCCAGCGATTCTGCCATAAGGACAATATCGTCGGCAAATCGAAGGTGAGTGATGTACTCGCCATTAATGTAGATACCGTATCCTTTCCAGTCCAGAAGCTTGAAAACGTCTTCCAATGCTGCGGTGAAGAGTTTCGGGGATATGGCGTCACCCTCTCTTACACCTCTCTGCAACTGGATAGGTTTCATACTCTGGTTCTGTACTCGGATAGCCATCGTAGCCCTATTGTACAAACACTCCAACACTCCGATATACCGACAGTCAACTTGGCACCGCTGAAGGGACTGCAGCACCGCCCAAATTTCGACGGAATCAAAGGCTTTCTCATAGTCCACACATGCAAGGCAAAGTGGCAGATTATACTCCTCTGCCTTCTGTACAATCTGCCGCAGGGTATGTATGTGGTCTATGGTACTAAAGCCTTTTCGGAAACTGGCTTGTTCGGGAGGTTGAAAGTCGTCAAGTCTGCGTGCGAGACGAAGAAGGGAAATCGGTCTGTAGTTCTTCAAGAGAGCGTTGTCGCCTTTCTTGAAGAACAAGACCACCGCACTTCTGCTCCACGTCTCCGGTGTAATGCCACCATGGAGGACGGAATTAAAGAGCTTCTGAAGGACTTCAATTACCATTTTTCCACCCGCTTTCAGAAGCTCCGCTGTAATTCCATCCTTGCCTAGGGCCTTGCCGTTTTTAAAGTGCTGGAGAGCCATTCTAATCTCGCTCTGACTGACGTCCGGGATATCATCGGAATAATGTCGGATAAGACTCGCTCTTGGATCGTTACTCACACTTGCGTGTGGCTCCAACGATGATGTGTACAGCTGCCCATAGAACCTCTCAATCTCACTCAAAATCTCAGGTGTCCCGGAAATGACGCTGCCACACTCGGTCTTCGGCTTCGACAGTTGGCTTTTTCTGTTATTAAAGTTCCGTAAGTCCCGCCGCATGCATTTGGAGATCTGTCTGTTCAGTTGCCTTTATGCTGTCAAATCTACTGAAGACTGCAGCTTCATATCCCGTCTAACAGCCATGAGATTAAGAGTGTGATCGGAGAGTTTTTGTGTTCGTCTGCGGCGGGTCTTACAAAACTTAGCTCCGACCGCATGGACAGTTTCCACGAGCTTGTCATTCATATTGTCCTGCATTGCAATCTTCTAGGCACTGAAAACGGTTTCGTAGCTCGAGCTGAAAGGTTTCGGGACTTTGGATTAGAGCACGAGGGGGTGGAGTGTTGACTTCATTAGACGAGACCTCTCCAACTTAACGTTTAGGTTCAGTGTGCCTCTAACCATTCGGTGATGGCTGCCGGTTTTCACCCTCACGATCACTGAGACATCACTGAACAGTTGTCGTCTGGTCGTCATAATGAAGTCAATCTAATTTTTTGTCGAACCATCGGGGCTCGACCAGGTCCTCTTCCTGTGGGGCCGCTTCTGTAAGAAAGAGTTCATCATAAAGAGTCCCTCTTTCTCCATGAAGTCGGCCAGCTGCTGGCCCCTTGGGTTCCATTGCCCTATTCGGTGGTGCCCTTAACGGTGGTAGAGCCACGCAGCAGTTTTTGCTGTTGCACGTATGGGCCGGCTCGAGTCGGGTTGGTACCACGGCCTCACAGAATACCGGCGTGAAGTAGAAGCTCTGCTTCTGCGTTTCGTCTGGTGAGTGCAGGTGGCCGGAGGCCGATTTCACCCACCCACCCCCCATCAACATGGTAGCGGAATTACACAATAGACTACCCCAGGAGGGTACCAGTACCCCTGGAGAATCCCTCGCTGAGCATCCACGACCATGTTATTCCAATCCTGAGCATGGGTGCCCCGCGTATTCTGGGGGGGGGGGGGGGGGGGGGGGGCAAAATTCCGCTCAAAAACATAACTGCTCGGGGCAAACTGAGCAACAATACCAAGGCGGCCCCTGCCACGCTATCCGTGAATTTCTGCAACATCAGGGGACTTCACT